TATCAATCAAGCAGTAGTATTCTTACATTTACATATCCACAGTCATATGGTAATTGTAGCTGTGGATCTTCAGCTACATGCACATCTCAATCTAGCATTGTGGACTATTATAGCGGTACAATATATTTGTATGTGCCAGGTATTTACATTGGATGTTATGTAATTGAGTCATTACTTCAATCTGATCTTCGATGTTTTTATAATCAGAGTTGTATAGATGAACTACAACCATTTTTAGCATCATCTTCACAAATGAATGTATCAGCACTTGACAAATCATTGTTAGTTCGATTTGTGGAAAACTCAACAATTCAAGAGGTGATGGATGAATTAATGATTGAAACATGGAACTCATCAATAATGTATGAGAGTTATTATAATAAATGTCAACCATCACAATGTAGTTATACTGTTGAGACCAAGAACGATGCAATATATATTATTACGACATTGATTGGACTAGTTGGTGGTTTGATAACAGTTTTAAAATTGATGGTGCCAAGAATGGCCAAACTTATCACGCCTTACATTCAACGACATAGAATGGGACAAAATGCTGTAATACCGTTCGGTTAAAGTTCATTACTTTGACATTAATGCAAGATACTATTAAGCTGAAAAAGATATACAAATAATCGAGAAAACTTAACGATAATCGTTTCTGATTGCGAAAAGTAGACAATCTTTGGATAATTCATTTCATAGCAGACATTTAGAAAACATATATGCAGGGGTGATAAAACGACCTGTGATTTTGATACTCGAAATAATTTGATTTTGATTTTCAGATGATTTAAACTAGTTTTTTTCCTCTTGCATATATGTGTAGTGTTGTTTTAAGACAACTTTATTTATATTATTGTAAGACGTATTGTATCACAGTTTGCCCGCACTTCAATATTTTTTTCAAATAAAAGACAAGAATGCTTTGCTTATATATATATATAAAACTGATAGAGTGTGTCATGTAGCACCGCACTTTCGCATCGATTTCAACAGACAATTGGTTTCGTGACTAAAACTGTCATATAGAGACTATTCGCTATCGATCTGCTAAAGACAGTCAGTTACTTATGGGTGCTGTCGGTTTGGGTATGGATGTGAAACTAAGTTGTATAACACCTACACGCATATCCACCCTTGTAGAGATATTAGCCAATGATTTTTTTCTTATAGGTTGGTTCGGTTTTTGTTCATCAGTAACAGGCATTGTTGAAGCTTTGTGTTTGGGTGCACTAACCGATACTCCTCGATTTCGACGTTCTCTTGAAATGCTTATTCTTATTTCTTTTATTGACTGTTTTCTTTCGGTTCTTTGGTTTCAACGTTTTATTCGTTCAGTTTTTTATGATGTACATATTCCTGGCTCTGCACAAATCACTATTGGACTATTATTTTCTCTTGCTTAGTCTATTTCAAGGAGCAACATCACCATTAATATACGAATGTTTAGCTGAAATCATGTTTCCTCTACCAGAATCTTTATCTGCTTTTCATTCCCGTTCAATGGAACAATATTACTTTGGTCTCCCCTTCTTTTCGTTGCTTCCAAATGATATAAATTGATTAATTTACTTGTTCTCATCGTTGTTGCATTATCCATTATAATGATTATTTTCGCTCGAATAATATACTGACGATAAGATAAAGAAGGACGAAAGAAAAACAGAACTGCTATTGGGCTGAGATTGGTCGCAAATGTTTCAACTATTCAATCGCATCCATAATAAATTTGTCTCTGATTATTTTTATTTCATATTTATCTGTATTAGTCTATAAAAACTAGGAAGATCATAAACAATACATATCACGTTTCTGATCAATCTTTTTTTACGTTTAGTAATATAAATTTATTACAACTATACGTTCTTTAATTTTATATTTAGTCTGAAATAGTTGAAAGTGTAGGTGTGCAAAGACATAACTCCCTAAACTCACACCCATTTAAATTTGAGGAACTGCCATTATATTCAATGACACTAAATCTGGATCATTTCCTATAGTCCATGATAAATAAATTGCTTCATTTCCGATAAGTATTGGACAATGTACATTTATTTGTGCATTCGATGGAATATCAATATTTATTCTATCTAATAATTGACCATTATTGATACGAACAGGAACAATAAAAGTATTTGACATATATTTTAATTGATCATTTGGAGATGATGACACTAGAATATAGATTATATTTGTTTCAGTATTTAAACTAAGACAATTTGAAAAAAGATTAAATCGTTCTATTTCATCTTGAGACACAATTTCAGTTTTCCATAAGGTTAATCCATGTGCATCAATAGCATAGATATATGGAAGAATAGATATATATGTGATACTTGATTGATCATTAACAATTGGTTGAGTAGACTGTGCAGAACTTCCATATGGTTCATTCCATTGCCAAATTACATGAAAATAACTACTTGCTAGAACATCCCAACTCGAAATGCTAATTGATCCATTAGTAGAATTTTGCCATACACGCGTCATAACCGATTGCTGTTGATTAAAAGAATAAAATTGATTTTCGCCTGAATTAATTTAATTATCTAACAATCGTGTATCTAAACCATTTACTTTTCTAAAATGATCATCATTTGCGTCGCTATTATATGTTGTTTTTGAAGAACATCCAGTTATTCCTCGATCGATTAAAACCGGTCGTAAACAACTGAATTGAATAATCATTTATTGATAATGAAACTTGTTCGTGTGAATAATAAAGTCGGATTATTTGTTTGACCATTAAATATTCTACATACTTTTTCGAATAATGAAATTCCATTTGTCCATGATATAAAATAGATTAAATCATTTCTAATTGATATTATATTTGAAACACCTACATTAATCATTTTATCGATAGATCGAAAATATATTTTCCATCGAATGAATCCATTTAATGATAAACAAACAATATAATCAGCTAAAAAATTTTGTAAGACATTCTCTATTTAAATCAACAATAGTAGTTCGTCAACAAGATGATTTTATTCTGTAAATGAATTAGTTTCTCACCTGAATGAGATGAATTATTACTTATAAAAAAATATAAATCTCCATTAGATCCAGCTCCTGTTCCTTGTATTACTTTTGCTTGTGATGAATTATTAAATATAATACGCTAAGATTTTGCAGTAAAATTGATTGGAATAGAAGGAATCATTCGTCGAGTATTTGAAGGATTGCCCATTGAGTGAATCCATTCATATTCATATGCATTCTTTTGTCCATTCATTAATTCAATTAAAATTAATAAAGTAAAAACAATAATATTCTTTTCGTTAACTGCTTTCTTTCTTGTCAATTGTGATATACATTTTTATGTTATTTATAGACAAGTATTCTTTTTTCTCAGTTATATTTTTTTCATTGAATCATGCGTACATACGAATGATAATGTCAGCATATTTTTTGCATAGTACACTACCAACATGCAAAAATCATTATCGTGATTATTCATCAATTTTCAAAATAGGGTATGGGTAGGAGATGGAATGAATAAAATTTATTCCGATCTTTACCTAAATCCACCATGTTCAACTTGGATTGGTATTATATTTTATCACAAGCAACATTTGTTGGATAAACGACACATAATGGCTTTATGTAAAATTTCTCCTATTTAACTATATGTTTATTTTGTTTTTCGTTAGGCCTATAACGAAGAGTGTATGCATTAATGAGGATTGCAAAAAAGGAAAGAAAAAACGTGCGCTGGTCGGTGTTTCTTTTTTGAAATTTTATGTGTTCGTATCAATCCGCGATGCGAACAGCCGAAAAATATCATGGCTTAAACGCTTCGTTCTCTAATTGATTGTCGTTTTTTTATTAACGTAAAAAAACGATGAGGGACGCATCAGTGATCACTGCAGTAAAGGAAATATAAAATAGTGTGTTTCTCGAGTTTTTTTCATTTGTTCGTATTCATTTAGATACACATTTCGTTTATTCATTCATTCTTTTTTGGCTTTAATTATCATTAGATATTATTTAACTGTAAGTGAAATTTTACTATTTGATTGTGGTCTAAAGAATATATAAATATATTTTTAAACGTTAGAACTTATACTACAGATAAAAAGTACGCTTGTGAATATTTTTTTGTCACTCTTACTACTAGACAAAGATGTTTCATATTCTTGAATATTTTGTTGAGGAGTTTACAGCTTTATCTCCAAATATCTTATCATAGATATAATAATATTGTTCATAAATATATGATGAATCAAAATGAAAGAACTTTTCGTCATGCAGTGCAAAAAAGAACAGATGCAGTTACTGAGAACTAGCAAGTGCTCCGAAATAACGTTCAATTTATTTGCTTTTCATAATCAGATATTCGGGTTATTTTTTAAGATACTAATATCACGATAGGTTGAGATAACATTTCGATTCAAAAGCGATAGTGAAATAGAATAACTGAAGGGTGTGGATACGGACGTGAGTTGGATACAATATTCACACCCACACCCTCAACGTACTAAAATCATCTGTAGAAGAACCAGATAAAAACGAGTTTTTTTGACTATCTTGACTGTCTGGTTATACTTTAGTATTTACATTTAGATGAACTTCAACTTGAATTTTATCCAGTGTTTTTTTTCGTTTTTTATTTCTCCAACTAATATTTCGTAAAAATAACCATAAATAATAGAGCTCTTCATGACTAAACGCTCTCACTTACATTATCAGTGCTTCCTCGATATTTATTCACATTCCAATTTTGTCTTTGACAGAATCTCAGAACTATCTACTTTCAAGCTCATAATGCGAATCGTTTATGCTCGTGATCGTATATTTAATAATATTCATACACAGAGAAATAAGTGTAGTCAATTAATGTCAGAATTATTGTTCCTGTTTTTGTTTACAATAAACGATAACTGGAATGCATAAAGATGCCTTTGTATTCGTTTTCTATAATATTAATCGAAAGCTTTTCTTTATATACTAGTAGTCACAAAGCGGTTCTTGTTAGACATGAACCTTGCTTTCATTGAAACTTCAGTAGGAGATGACTAATGTGGAGGAAGATTGGAATTGATACAATATCTTAATTATCTCTGTTTTCTAGGTACAAACGGTTAATCTGAACGTATCTCAGCGAAAATACAACGACAATTGATACTTATGTCGGAAAATCGTTTCGTAACTCAGACTCTCTCAGAGCTTCAAGAAGCCAATCGAAGTCCAATAGATGGTTATGAAGATTCACCCATTCTGTCATTAGAAGAAGCTGTGAAAAAACTAATTCCACTCGTCCCTCTTGCCATAAATGATGTTATGAAAGCTAAAAAGAAATGTAATCGACATTCAGATTTATTAACGCGGGATGAAGCGGCGGCAATATATCTTTACTCGATGCCACCGCCTTTTCATTGTTCTCTCAACACTGCACTTCGAGCTGAAAATCGACCTGCACTTAAACCATGGTTCGCCTACTTAAAATTGTTTATGACAGCTCTCAAGAAATTACCATCAATTAAGGCGGTTGTTTGGAGAGGCGTTCGTGATGATGTGAGTTCAGTATTCAACAACAATAATATCGACATTTGGTGGAGTGTAAATTCAACTTCGATGGATCTGAAAATTGTTGAACCGTTTCTAGGCAAACGAGGCACTGTGTTCAATATTGAAGCTGTGTATGGCAAAGATATCTCTCAATTTTCAGCATTTCCACAGGAGAAAGAAGTTATTTTAATGCCTGGAACTTGTGTACAAGCCAAAGCCGTACCACTCAATTTGGATAATCGTTTCTTCATCGTTCACTTAGACGAAGTACCTCTTCAAAGGTTAGTTCATTTGAAAAGATAAAAAAAGCTACCATGTTCATTTACCAATGAGAATGTAATTAATGTGATCATACTACGAAAATTGTCTATTCTATAGGTGTAACTATTTGCAATGCGGTTCACACTATGTTACCGTTTATATTGTCCGATAAATAATTTAAGATCGAAACTTAAATATTGATAAGATGTACATATCATAGAAAAAATAAACTGATGTTGATAGTAATTCGGGCATATAAATTTGTAAACTAGAACTTTTACAATTCACATACTAAATAGCTACAAGAAAGTCTACAAATTATTCCGAACAGTTTGCGAACAACATCTATTTTTTGTTGATGCATCTTGATAGTACTAATGGTTCGTTCAAAAAGTTTAAGGAAGTGTAAATAAATCTCATCATGGTACATGAAGTGTCAGTTTCTCTTGTATAAATCCTATAGTAAGTTATTCGAGCTGATCGAAAATAGATTAAATGAGTTTGTGTTATATAACCCGCTATGAAATATTCATTATTTTGCTAAATATTCTCTGTATTTTTAAAAGTGAATCACAATCTGAGTCAAACCATCTATTTCAATCGATAAAACAAGAATATTATAGAAATGGTTATATTGAACGTCTGATGAATCCAGCAAAATTCTATCCGATCGAAGAAAGTTACGTTAATTTAGCCATCGTCGAAACTAAAAAACAACAACAAAAAGAAAAACAACTTCATGATGCTTCTACTAGTGATGCTATACTGGGAAGTTATGAAGAGATTTATGGAACAAAAACTACAATAGATCCCAAAAATATTTTTAACACATGCAAAAGCCAAGATAGGAAAGTGCTGGTATTCGGACGTGCTGGAATCGGAAAATCTACATTTTGCCGATATATTGCTTATCAGTGGGCGATGGGTTCATATTGGACCGAGTACGAATTATTGGCTTTGATTCCATTACGTCGCTTAACAACTAATCGATATCCTCCTTTATCAAATGGTCAGAACTATTCTTTGATTGATCTTGTGAAAAAAGAGATTTTTTCATATGATCTATCTGAAAGTGAAGACAAACTTCTAAAAAAACACTTTGATGCAAAAAAGACTCTATGGATTTTGGATGGATATGATGAAATTGCACGAAATGTACCCTCACATTTGGAATGTTTATTTGAACAATTACTTAAAACTCCACATCATATTTTAACATCTCGTCCATATCAAAATGTATTAGCCTATCATGTACAAATGGAAATCACAGGTTTTACAGACGACAATATCAAACAATATGTGCAGAAATTCTTTGATCAAATAAAAGATGAATTAGACAATTCTTTGGACAAAAGTCAGAAATTATTCAGATTCTTACAGACAAATCCATCTATCTGGGGTGTTGCACATATTCCAGTGAATCTAGAATTAATATGTAGTCTTTGGAGTAACGAAGATTTTATAGAAACAAAAGAATTAACAATAACATCATTGTATACACTTATGGTTGAATGGTTATGTCGACGATATTTGTCAAATCCAACCAAAACAATTCAAAATTTATCTAAAGACGACGTCAATCAACGCTGTGAAAAAGAATTAGCATTCTTAGAGAATCTAGCCTTTTATGGAATGAAGAATAACACTATAATTCTACGACCAAACCTACTGAGAAAAGCACTAAATGAAGAAAAAATCTCTTTTAATGACCATCCACATATACTCAATATGGGAATTCTAAAAAGTTTTAATAAACAAGGTATCGATACTCAAATTGAAACAGATAAAGATCATTATTTTGTGCACCTCAGTTTTCAGGAATATTTTACAGCACGATATTTGATTAAAGCTCTTAAAGAGTCTTCAACTCATCGAGAAGAAATGAAGTTTATTCAACGACAAAAATACAATCAACGTTATGCATTAGTGTTTACTTTTCTATCAGGTCTTTCCAGTGAGGCTGATGCAGACACATGTTTAAACGTCTTTTGGGGACTTCTATTAACACCACCGATAGATCTTCTTGGAATAAGACATATGCAACTTGTTATTTCTTGCCTTGAAGAGACATCAAACCAATCAATTATTCCACAACACACTTTACTTATAGAATGGATAGCGAAGTGCATTGAGTATAACTGGTCTACAGAAAACGAAATTATTCGTGAGTATCTTACACAATCATTGAGAAGAGCACCAACGGTAATCAGCAGTCAAATAATTATAAATGTACTTATCCAGCTGCTTCAAAATGATGGTCCGCATATCAGAATTGTAGTCCTCTCACTCATTTCTGAAATGAATGGTTCGAATCTACCGGCTGCACTGATTAAATTAGTGGCTACAGCACTAGATGATGAAGACACGATAGTCAGATCCTTTGCATGCAATGCTCTCGAAAAAATGGGTGAAAAAGCAGCGATGAATGAAGTGATCACTAAACTGGCTAGTGCATTAGAAGATAATAGTGGTTGGGTCAAAGCCAGTGCATGCGAAGCTCTCGGAAAAATGGGTGAAAAAGCAGCGACGAATGAAGTGATTGCTAAACTGATTAATACATTAGAAGATGAGATTGAATGGAACCGAGCCAGTGCATGTCGAGCTCTCGAAAATATAGGTGAAAAAGCAGCGACGAATGAAGTGATCACTAAACTGATTAGTGTATTAGAAGATGAGAGTGAAGAGGTCAGACAGAGTGCATTCGACGCTCTCAGAAATATAGGTGATGAAGCAGCTATGGATGAAGTAATTACTAAACTGATTGGTGCATTAGAAGACGAGAGTGAATGGGTTAGATCAAATGCATGCGACGCTCTTGGAAAAATGGGTGAAAAAGTAGCGACAAATGAAGTGATCACTAAACTGTTCAGTGCATTAAAAGATGAGAGTGAAAAGGTCAGATGGAATGCATGCCAAGCTCTCAAAAATATAAGTGATGAAGCAGCTATGAATGAAGTAATTACTAAACTGGTTAGTGCATTAGACGACGAGAGTGAATGGGTTAGATCAAATGCATGCGACGCCCTCGAAAAAATGCGTGAAAAAGCAGCGACAAATGAAGTGATTACTAAACTGATTAGTACGTTAGAAGATGAGAGTGAAAAGGTCAGAAGGAATGCATGCCAAGCTCTCGGAAGGATCTGTGAAATGGCAGCGCCGAATCAAGTGATCACTAAACTGGTTAGTGCATTAGAAGATAATAGTGGTTGGGTCAGGGGCCATGCATGCGAAGCTCTCGGAAAAATGGGTGAAAAAGCAGCGACGAATGAAGTGATTGCTAAACTGATTAATACATTAGAAGATGAGATTGAACGGGTCAGATCCTTTGCATGCGAAGCTCTCGAAAAAATGGGTGAAAAAGCAGCGACAAATGAAGTGATCACTAAACTGATTAGTGCATTAGAAGATGAGAGTGAAGAGGTCAAATGGAGTGCATGTAACGCTCTCGTGAGAATTGGTAAAAAAGCAGCGACAAATGAAGTGATCACTAAGCTTGTGAATATAGGTGATGCTGAGGGGCTATCGTCTTGTATAGTTGCAAAAGCTATAGATGGCATTTTTCGTTCGTCTGCTGTAATGATTGCTTTTGGTCCAATGATAATTTCAGACCTTTGCAGCTATGGAGAAAAATTAGAGTGCTTGAAAAATATTTCACTGGATGAAGTAATCAAAAAATTTTTCGATACTCAAGATGCTGATTGGTTGTTGCCGTTGACTGAGATAACACTCCGAAGAGGTGCTGCTGTTTCGATGAATGAAGATAAGTTGATTGTGTATGATAATGGAGAACCAATAGAACTACGTGCTCCAAATTTGAAACTGCAATACGAACTCATTGAAGCTTTTACTAATAAGGCAAAACCACTACACTTATCATCTTTTGGGATACCGTCAAATCTGGGCAATTAATTTTAATTATACTGCTGTTTTTGGAGAATGATGCTTTTTCTTTTCGAAATTTTTAATTAACGACATTCATTTCCTTTTCATATTCAGTTATGCTAGCATATTAATTGTATACTTTTTTTCGTCGCTTGTTATATTGTATTTTTTAGTCTACTTGTTTTTTTTACGATTATCGAATAAAGTGTGGAGAAAAATCCAACTTTTTCTGTTTTGAGTGATACAAAATAGTTACTGGTTGTCAGCCACTTTGTAGGAATCATTTAATAGACAAGGGAATCTGGTAGATATGAAATAAAGTTTACTAAACATCATCATATATTGTACGTATTCTACTGAAAGGCAAGTATGTATTAACTTTTTTATTAACAATATAAATCAGAGAGAGTAATAAATAATTTTTTTATCCATATATAAGCATTTTTAAAAGTTTAAGATTAATGTTTAAATAAAATTTTATACTATTTTTCGATATATTAAGTCTTATTAAGTGAACTTAAGAAACTCGAAAAATTTCATTGGTAGATGTGGGTGTTAATCTGTCTTCCCTTTTATCTGCATATACACCGATGCGTACTAACACACCCACACCCTCAAGATTAGTCTTCGGAGGACAATAACATACAAACATTGATAACGCTGATAGCTCACTCAAATTAGTAATATCAATACTCTTTCTCGAAACTTTTCTTAGGCTTATTCGTTTGATGAGAAAAATACAACCCAAGTAGCTTGTTCAATATTAAAAAATGAAACGAGCTCGAATGCTTGCGACGCAAGCTTTTATAGTCCATCACAGCATGAATTACGGTCATTGCGTCGCTGATGCGAATATAACTGCGGCGTAATGATCTCATTCTCAAGTTTCTTCATTGATTTTCAATATTACATTTATCGAGAGCGCAACAATATTGTAAATTAAGTGTCGTTACTTATCAAACGATGTAAAAATATGTATGTTGTATTTGGTATACTTCATTTTGATCCTGTTTTATATTTATAGTTTACAAAATCACTTGGCTTTTTCCAACATACGTTTATTTATGTGAGTCATATCATGCATCACATATGCGCATCATCACGTGTATCATGTGCTCTTCGTTCTCTTCCTTTATTTTTGCTTTTGATTACCTTTAGTATTCTTACGAAAAAAAAATATGAATGGATGTTTTCATCTACAAATGTATTTTATAAGAGTGTGGGTGTCTCTTTTCTAAGTAAACGTACACGCTTATGAACTAGCTAATATTGATGCGGTGGATCGGATTTCCTTCTCATTAATTCATCGAAGAAGAATTATTTACTAGAGCACACAACTCATTCTTAGCAGGAAAGAGTGGAGTTTGGCAATTAGTGTAGATTCCTTCTATACCTACACGCTCACTCGCACATACCCAACTTTATATTATTACTAGCAGCGATCGAAAGAACGTTTTATTAAACCTTTACAAGTATATTTCCATTTTTGAGCAATAGCTTTTAAAGAAGGATTTTTTAAAGAGAATTGTTCATATGTCTTATCATTGCCTTTTCGTCTTCATTAATTAGATGATGGTTACGTTCATTTGGTAAAAAGCCTTACGATGTTATTATTTTGGTTCAGAGTCATACTGTGATCCATGTTCATAAAAACAAAACTCAAAAGAAAAGAAGAAATAGTTCTTAGATCAAGTTCATTGGACCTCTCTTTAATTATCAGCGATCTTTTCAGATAAAAACAAAGAGAAAATATCGTCACACATATCATTAAACATACCAGTGTTCATTTATAAAACGAAGATAAAATCTTTTCTTTCACGTTAAAGAAGATTGTATAATTTCTTTTTCACAAAAACCGTTTTATTCCGTCGGCTGTAAAAAGAGTGATACGGAAAAAATGAAATGCTTTGTTTGTATTTGTGACGAGTCAAAGGTCAAAGAAGCATTTTGCACATTATTTTGTTTTTGTTTAGAATGACTTTAATTTTTTAACCAACACTTCAAATTTATAAAAATAACTGAGAAACCAACAAAACAATTTTTTTAATTCGTCACATTATCTTTTCTTTGAAATGTTATAGGAAAGTTGTCTCTTTCTTATTAAATACAAAGGAAAAAGTGTCGTCTATGTTATATTTCGTCCTATCTGTCTGATGTTGAAATCATGAAAGAGAATTTTGAAAGAATTTAAATCATAAGGAGCAACTGTTATCGAAAAATCGTTAACAAAAAATTCTTTTCCGCTTCTGACTAATTAATCTTTTGTTCTACTTATTTATTAAAAAGGTCGAAAGTCAATAGATCAGCACATTTGTATAAAAATTGCAACATGATCTGTATCATAATATGCTAAAGCAATATCCATGCAATTATCTTGATTTAAGGTGTGGATGTAGGTGAAGATCTGAAAACTTGTTATCATTCCAACTCTTACCCATATCCTCAAGAACGACAGTGTTGATACATGAGTTTGAATTCTACCGCATCAACAGTGACGCATTTTAGCCATTAATCGAGCTTCTTAAAGGAAAAACAAAACACAAAATATTTATTTTTTTACTCTCTATTTATTCATATAATGATATCACGATATAAAAAAGATTAAACAAAAAAATAAGTTGAACAGTAGAATATTACATACAAAAAAAGAGAAAGATTTGTCCATAACAGATATTTGCTGAATTAGATCAGTTTTTTAAAGTTCTGATGGTTTGTAAATCCGCAATCGATTCGAAACCATCATCTGGAAGGTAATAATGTCCAAAATATGTAGTTAGAGTATAGTCTGTATCCGATGATAAATTCTCAAAACGGTATTTTCTTATTAAATAAATTTCATTTAAGACAGTTTCTATTGGTAATATTGTATTTCCACCACCTAGATTTACATTCGTTTCAAGTTTAAAATAAGGAACTTCTCTTGGCCACATCATTGAAATAATAGCTGAATTTGATTTAATATCAACAAATCTTCTTGCACCAGGTATCGGTGTTGTTGCCATTTTGATCAATTCAGGTCTAGTGGCTCCCAACTGCCACGGGTCTGGACTTGTTCCATCAATAAAAGTTATATTGTATTCGGTAGCGACAGCATAATATACATTAGCTTTTAAAAAATTGCTGTTCACTATCATACGTGATATGGAATCAAAGTGATCTTTACCATCCATAGAAAAATTATAACGAAATATGTCAGTTGCGTTTAGTTTATACACGATAACAGAAAATTGTATAGAAGATGGTTCACCCCTTTCGGGATTATAATATGGCCAACTAATATTAAGGCTTGATTCATTGTATACATCGACAAACTGATTAAATGGTGTTTGCCAATAGAATGGTCGCCCTATAACTAAATTTATTGATGTTGTCGTCAATATTAGAATGAAAATCCATATTAACTGCATCTTGTCGTCTGGTTAAAATATTTTTTTATTTAACCGAATGGATATGAAAATGAAGAGAGAAGAATGAACAATGAACGATTATCTGTCGCCAACGAGACGAAACGGTCATTTTTCGTTATTTCATCTTTCTCTCTTAACCGTTTCGCCTCATTAGCGATAAGATGGTCGGTCATTATTCTTTCTTCTCTCCTCGTTTTTTTTATCCGTTCGTCATTATTTCATATACATTCTATTACATAAAGCACGACCGGGTAGTCGTTCCATCACAACTGCCTTTTATGTAACTTCAATTCCTTTCTTCATTATTCTTCATACTTAATCCAACTAATATCAAATTTATAGTCCATTTTTCATCACGTTATCTTTATCATAATCTATATTTGCCTACGTAAATTCTGATACTAATAATTATATTTGATATTTACAAACTAGAATGAGTCAAAGCAAATACTTGTGACGAACATTACTCAAGGAGAAGGTATAAGTTTAGAAGAAATTTACATTCATATTTTTAAGATAAGAATTTCTTAGTTAGTTTCAAATAAAAAAGTGATAGACTATTTAGAATTTATTTGCATAATGAATAAATGAGAAGTTTCGACAAAATTGATAAAATGTACTTTTTTTCAATGTCAAAAAATTAGTATTTTTAGTTTTTGATTTAAGAAAAAATGTCATAAATTCTAATATATTAAGTACTTTGATTAATATTGAGAATGTGGATGGGCGTAGTTCAGAGAGGAACAAAAGACTCACACTTCTATTCTCTTTTATCAACTGATTGAAAATGATCGATTGCGATCGTTTGGCTTCAATGCATGCCTAGTGCTGTAATTAACACATGGTTTATTATTTGTCAATGAGTTGAACATGGTCAAAGTTAAAATATAAATAATGGCTAATATCATCAGTATGAACATTTCCTTTAACTTGTATACGCTTATTAAAACGAGATGAATCTTTCCAGTCCCATCAATACCATTTATTTCTTTGATCTTTTCATAGACATGAAAATAAGATTGTCCAACTAAATTAGTTGCTACTGTTTGATCTATTTTGTCAATATCAACACAGAATACACCTATATCAAATCCTTCATTAGCTAATTCAACTCCAGACTCTTCAGTAGCATGACCCATGAAATTATTACAAATGTCAAGAATATCACCTATATTTTAAATTATAGAAAATTTATAATAAAAATATGTTTACCTACAATATATGCATTGGATGAGCTAAGACTTAAAAACAAAGTAAATTTTTCATAAAATATTTTTATTAAAGACTTACATGATTTGAAACTGACAGATGCAAAAGTTACTAGCAAGTCAATCGATATTGTTTCATCGTTAAGAGCTAGATGAAGACACAGAGTACAGTCTATTCCACCTGTAAATGACACAGCAGCACGTCTAATGTTCATTTCTGCTGAATTTAAAGAATGATATTATTTTAAATTTTTATTATAAAAAACATTCTCGTGTAGTGATTACATCACGAAATGCACTTCAAAGACAAAGAATTGGCTACCTATAAACAACTACTTGTCAAATATGGTCTATTCTTTTGTTATGATAATAGAGTATGCCGTTAAAACAATAATAGATAGAAAAAAATATCTAATTGATCAGATATTTGATAGATAAATATATTATTAAATACAGAAATTCATGTGTTAAAGATATAATTGAATCCAAAATCTTGTTCTATTCCTAATATAATATTGCCTTGAATAGTTAATTTTGGATCAGATACAAAATAGAACCATAATAATTCTTGAAGGTGTGGGTGTGGGTATCAATTCTTTACCCTAACGTACACTCACACCCACACCCTCAAGATGGTTTTCTTATTCGAAGAAAGGAAAGTCGATATTATTCATTATAAACTATTGATTCTTACAAAAAATATAACAATATGTAAAATAAATCTTTGAAATCATTAGCCGATCGAAGTTTTATCTAATCAAACTGCCAGTATATTAGAAGAAGTATTTTAACACTAATGACAAGATCAAGTTGATTTTAATATGCGTATAGATTTATTGAAAAAGAAACACTCTAAACAGTTGTTAAAACTAATCATATTCAACATACATCTGTTCATAAATATTTGAACAGTTACAACGTCTCCCATAAACTCCAGTGTGACCTATACAATCAATGTTCTTCTTACTCCAATCAAGCGCATAAATTGCTCGCGGTAACCGCGATTCGAAATCATTGATATGTGAAAATTGCTAGCGGCAAATAAATAGGAGCATATATTGATAGTGTCAACAATTAATGTTTCCCAAGCCTGCCGTTCAGGTGATTTATACTGCCCATTAGTGATGCTGAGGTAGAGCAATTGGGCTGCATAGGGAATAAATGCAATAAGAGCACTGAGTGACTGCAGAAACAGCATAATCGTGAGCTGTCTGTCGATTCGTTGGTGATGCAAGGTATTTGTAATAGACGTGGATGGAACACCATTATTAGTAGGCACTACTTGTCGTTGAAAGACGCTTCGAGCACTTTTCAAAAGCAGATAGGCGAGTACGATCATAATAATAGGTGAACAAACTCCAGATAGGCCTGCCTCGAGGTAGGCATCAAAAACAGCATATACAACTTTTTGACCTGTGCACTGTCCAGTTGAATTGGTGTAGTACACTAATCGGTGGCCAATAATTGGTATCCATAAGACAAAGTTTATTGGTATCACTTTGTAGGCAAGAGAAACACGGTTGCTCCATTGCCGATATCCTATAATAAAACACAATTGTTTTTCACGTATCACAAAATACTTTTATACGAATTTTTTAAAAATATTATGAAAATATCGACTGGAATACTCCTATATCTTTCGGGAAATATGCCTAGATAGTTGAAGATCATTTTGTAGAAACCTACGATGCAATCTTAAACTATTCCCTGTTAAGATGTGGTCGTACTTACTTATCGAGCGTTGTGCTGATAACACCCGATCAAGTGTTGCACATATAAAGAAGATGTTTGCCACCTGAAAGACATATTCCGCCATGAACTCTCGAATTTTACAAGCTACATCGTAACGAGACATGATCGAAATTTGAAAACCCTCTACCAGCACGCGTGTGAGAAGTAGAAAGTTGAAAAAGAAGACATTGGTAAATGATTCCCAAAAAAGATAGATAAAACAAGCTCGATTACGGAATGCTTCTGAGCGATATACGATCATATTGATCAAGCAACTTATATTGCCGTTGACCCAAAGAAACAAGCCAAACCAGATGTTTATATAAATGGAAACGTTTTGAAGCGTCGTCGCCAGGCTGCTTATATTATTTGGTGTAGTGTTGTTCATTTTCTATGTCTAAAATATAGAAAAACATGATGCATTTTAAATTTTAATGATCGATATGAACCAGTTTTGTGTCATCCAACTGGGATCGCGTATATAACACGTCAACTCGATTTATGACAAACTTTCATAATCTAATGAGTTTAAACTTTCTACAATTTCATGGTAAAAACATAGTGTCTTACAGGGAGGAGGTGAACTTCTTACCTAAGATACTTCTTAATGACGAGTGTGCTAAACGTTTCGTTCTTTAAGCTTGATTACACCGTGTATGTTGTTCTCGACGATAATGGAATAGATACTGTAATATTGAAGAAAAAACTGTGTTCATTTATATTCAGATGATTTCGCTTGAATAAATCAAATACTCACCTTCATGTTTGATTATGGAAGCGGTAGACGAACATCTTTTCTTATGTTCTTTTACAAAGTTGTCATAATTGATGTGATGCAAGAATGTGAAAAAATCATGAATCTATACAGAATATCAGGATTTGCATCTTTTATAAATAGAAATGCGTTTGAAAAGTAATGCGCCATGATTGATAAGGAATAAAGGAATTTTCTTTTTTGTCACAACTATTATGTTTATCCGTGCTGTCATTTATGTCTTTACATTTTTTTTTATAAAAATCATGAATATTCCAGTGAAAATTTTGTTAGAAATAAAAAGAGGGTGTGAATGTGGAATATATTAATATCCATACAATTCGATGATATGATGAAGTTTATATTGTCATAATTCATGGAAATCAGCTAAAGACTTTAGCTAGTACTTTTTATTTCCGTTAACGTTCAGATAACATTCTGTCTTTAAATTAATGAGTTATAGTTGATAAACAAAATGGATCAATTATTTTCATTATATTCAGATCAGATAGGTGCCTTATCTGTTGCAGACGTTGGCTAACATGATGCGCCACTTGTTCCGGTCTTGTGCTGCGTGAAGGAAGTCTGTCGAGCGAGATGTTCTCTTTGAGAACCCCATTCACGCTGTTGTTTTGACTGGAAGTTTTGGCGTTAATCATATTGTGCTTGGGAGTGTACAGCGGTGGTTTCCCCTTGCCTTCCGCCGTTCATTATATTAAAGAACGCATTAATTTCACAGCAAATATTATCTTAAATTCAATGAATATTGATATCAAATTGATGATTAGACAATACATTATTTCTAAATGGTGAATACTGACATATCATAATCTGGAGCAAAAGTATTGAAGAACTATTCTTTGAAACTTGAGTGTGGGTGTGGGTGAAGATTTGAATACTTGTTATCCATTCCAACTCTTACTCGCATCCTCAACGGCGGCAGTGTTGATATACGAGTTTCAATTTTTAAATCAACCGCATCAAAGGTAACGCATTTTAGCCGTTAATTCATCTTCTTAAAAGTAAAGAAGAACGCAAAATATTTCTTTTTCATTCTTTATGTATTTGCATATGATGGCGTCACAATATGAGAAAGGGTTAAAAAAAAAATAAATCGAACAATAAAACATTATATATAAAGGAGAGAAAGATTTGTCCATAAAAGGAATTTGCTGAACTGGATGAATGTTTTAAAGTTGTAATGACTCCTGAACTTTCATCTGATACAGTCCAAATATCATTTGAAAGGTATCTTCGTGTAAATGTTGTAACTAGACGATAGTTTGTATCTGGTGATAAATTCTCAAAACGATATTTACTTATAAAATAAGTTTCATTTGATACAGTCTCTATTGGTAATGTTGTATTTTCACCATTCAGTTTTGCATTCATTTCAAGTGTAAAATTAGGAATTTCTCTTGGCCACATCATTGAAATAATAGCTGAATTTGATTTAATATCAACAAATCTTCTTTCACTAGGTATCGGTGTTGTTGCCATTTTAGTCAATTTAAAAAAACTACGTCCCCATAGTTTCTGTGATTGATTTATTCCATAATTATAAGTTGTATTGTATTCAAGAACAATAGCATAATATGCATTGGCTTTTAAAAAATTGTTATTCACTATCATAAGTGATGTGAAATTGAAACGATTTTTACCATCCATAGCAAAATTATTGCGAAATATATCAGTTGTGTTCAGTTTATATAGGATAACAGATAATTGTACAAAAGATGGTTCCGTTTCGGACTTACTATATTGCCAACTAATATTAAGACTTGATTCATTGTATATATCGACAGTCTGTATCGAAGGTGCTGACCAAGTCCACGATTGGCCTGTAACTAAATTTATTGATGTTGTCGTCAATATTAGAATGAAAATCCATATAAATTGCATTTTGTCGTCTAGTTGAAATGGATGTTATGGGAGAATAATTATTGCTTTACGTTTTTTTTTGTTCTATAGTTTAAAA